ATGTATAACAACTGTAGTGGGCTCACCTGCAAACAGGCGTCGGGCAACAATCGCGAATGCGGCGCACTTGTGACAATAAGCAAAGGTCATTATAGTGTTACGAGTTACGACCATACGACGTACGGGAATGAGTTATCAGCTGTCTAATCGTAGACAACACAATGTCGAGCCTTAAACTGTAAGCCCGTATTGGTACTGTTTCTTTTATATGGCTGTCGAACATTATTTATGGTTTGAAATATGATTTTAAGTAAAATAATTGATATGAAAAAGCCGTCTTATAAGTTATGACCCCATTTCACCACACGCGAGTGGCAGAAATGACAATGATCAGCTGACGCATTTTTCTTGGCCGAAGTCAGAGCGCGCGGCCCGACGCACCACGCGTATTTGGAAATTCCGACCTCGACGAGCATCAGAAGCCACCTAACAGGCGTGTTCGAAACCGCAGGAGATGATGATGAACGGGTTTATCGAAACTTGATTGGATGAGCATATCGGTAATAGCGATTTCAGTGTGTGCATTTATTGTTCATAGTGGTGTGAAATGTGGTTGGGGTACGACCGACAACTCGTCGGGGCGAATTTCGCACTGGGGTACTCAAAATTTGAAGAATTTAAGACGTTTCCATGAGTTTTGAAGGTATGGATAAGTTCTAAAAATCCGGTTCTCCTTATCTGGGCCATTAACTCCATACGGTCCAAGAAAGCTGGCACACTACCTTTAACATTACGAGCCAACGACAAGTGCTCTAAATTTTGATATTTTGTTAAGAGACCATATTGACAAAAATTGGCGCTTGAGCTGAAATATCGTCTGCCAAAATTTCAAGCTAATTGGACAAAAATTGAAGAAATTATCGCCGAAAAGCAGGGTCTCATGGGGTCTGAAATGCATAGTAGGTGCTTGAATCAGTGGTGATTGAATATCGAGGAGTATGCGTTTGCACATTTAGATTGCAATGAGGACTGAGAAGCGGAGACGCTATAGGCCACAACTGGAGCTAGAGCTGGAACCCCTGGAGCCACTGAAACCGGTGCATTTCGCTCGGAGCCCGAGCCGTAAAAATGTGACGGTCAAGCCCCCACACAGATGAAAAATCAAGCATAACCAAAGCATGCGAAATGAATACATTACATAATGCATTGCATTGTTTGATGTAAAATGAGGACGCACTTTGAAAAAAATAGGTACATGTAGGAAACATGTAAGTGTCATCAACGAAAAATGCCGAAAAGATTGCTCAATAGAAATATGACAACATACCTAACACATGTCCCGACTCTGGCTACCAGTATGATAGTTACATGCTGATAGAAATAGCTGCTTCAGCATTTAAATTTATGAAGTTTTCAGACGATGTAAGGACGGCGTTGTATGGTTGCCTTTGTGATATCTTTGAACGGCACACTGAACGACACACTCCGGCCCTGCCAAATGGATGCGAGGGGCCGGAATCAGAGCTGCGGACTGCGAGTGCATTTCGTATGAAACCGGAGCCGGACGAGTCAGGACGAGACGAGTCATTTCACCTTCCAGAAAGGAAAACATTGTGAAGGGTATCTTACTAGAGACCGGAGCCTGAGTCGAAATACTTCATCGGACTCGGAGCCGGAGCAGCAGACGTTCAGGATCAAAATGGTTTCGTCTCAAAATCCTTGCTGACTGCGACTATGAAGTGCGAAGCACATGATCACTCGTCACATGTCTGTTATCGGCGCTTTGGGTGTTGTTAGTGGTATTTTTCAGGCAGTTATGTGAAATTTGCGGTACACAAGAGCCTCATGTGCCTGTGTGGGATGCACGGTGTCAGTGGATATTACAATAACGGTCAAACTGCAGGTTAGAATCTATGCTTCCGCCTTCCTTCAGATTTCGTGGAGAACTAGAGGTTAGATCAATGGTCCAGTGGTAAACTGTGCCACGAGGAGCATATGCATCCATAGTTGACAATGTGTATTAATTTTTCATTCTCTTCCCATTAAAATAAAATTGACCAATACCTAGAAAACAGATTGTTCTATAAACAGCAATTTGCACAGTACCACAGAGGTGGGCGAAGCCCCATAATTTCTGAAATTTAAGTTTTGAATTGTGATCACAATGGATCACCTATAGTCACACTGTAAATGTAAGAAACTGCTCCTGTAAGTAAGATTTCTCACGTCCAAGTTTCGAAAAAAATATTTGGACGCATGTTCTGTCGGATCTACGACACTGACTTTAGAGCCCGGGTTGCAATTGCTTTAGCGCTCGATATGTCGACACTTTTGACTAGAGGTGGCAAAAGGTGAACATTTTTGGAACCAGACTCGAGGCGGACCCGACTGAGACCGTCTTTCTAGAACCAGCCAGACCCAGTCTAAGCTGGAATCGGAACCAGCCGGACACATTCCCCAAAAGTCAACGAATACAAACGTAATGATGTGTATCATTAGGTAGGTACATCAAGTAAAACACCTCTTTTCAACTGGGAATGCCTATGATCCACAGAGTACAACCAGCATAATATCGGAGCAAATGATTGTTCTCTTTCTATTCACTTTATATTTGCACTCAGGTTTAGTAAGTGAGAAGTATGATTTATGGTAGGATCCGGTTAGATCCGTCATAAATTTCCGGGAACCGGTCTGGACCCATATGGGTCCAGGCCGGTTCCATAGGCCGGTTCCTCGGGTTCACATTTTGCCATCTCTCGCGGGGCTGGTCTGCTGTTGCCTGTTGGTGGTAACGGTCTTGGCAGAAATGCTAGACACTAGCTTTGAAATCACCCTGACAGTCCATAAATCCTAGATGGGATGATAGATACGGGGTGGGATAATGGGTCATGTCTTCCAAACGAATTATACCGGGCTTCTAAAAAGTCAGGCAAATTTCTTTGCGAATAGTGGAATTCAAACAATATTAAGACGAAATTATGTAATTATGTGGCGGCGCACCACCGACTTTACTACATCCTTGACTGGTCTTAGAGACTTCTTAGGCTGTTCCAGTACACCTGGGACTTCAGGTGGTCTTACGGGGAAACAAGTCCAGTGGGGTCAAGTCCGGGGGGGGGGGGCTCGCCATTCACAGGTGTGTCTCGAACCTCGAGATCACGCGCTGCCGGGCTGCCCGTATTGCTCCCGCAGCCATCCCCGGCTTTTATTAGCAGTATTGGCCGTGGAACCATTGGCGCTTAAGTACTTTCGGAGCTCTGCTCATCCTTATCTGCAGGACACTCCTAAACTTCAAAACTTCACCAGGGCCACCCCGTATCGCTACCCAGAGCGTTGACAGTCTGGGTATCGCATCTCTCAGACGAGCGGTGTTCGTCGGGGTCCTGTTCCCTGAACCTGTTGTTAACACTTCCTCGAGTCAGAAAGTTGCCAACAATGTTGAAAATTACGTTTCGAGATGGTGCTCTCTTTGCCTTGTATTTGCGGAACTTTCGTTTTGCAACGACCGATTTAGTGTGAAATTGCGATCCATATTTTGTGGCACTGTTAAACCTGAAATATATGAATTACAAATTCATCCGACTTTTTTGGGAAGCCCGGTTATTTAGCGCTGGCCCTATTTTCTTCAATGCATGTTCCAAACAATAAAAACAGCGAGGCACTGGTCGCAAACAAACGTTTTCCTAGCCTTCAAGCATGGCGATATTTTCCCATCTTACTACATTGTAGTAAGTTCCTATTGTATTTTATTTTCCTCCTATTGTATTTTAGTATACGAGCATAGGACTCTTGGTGCTCATTCTGCTTGTGGTATTCTTGACTTTCCTTTGGATGCCGTTCTTTCTTTGCAAACAAACCGCACTGCTTTCGTATGACAAGACTCAAGTGCTCTAAGCTCTTCTTTTCTGGGATTGTATCATAATCGTAATGCTATTTCAACAAGCGTAGTATCTCCTGGGGCATTACAACCTTGGAAATTCCGATAATTCCTATTTTGATCCCACCTAGAGCAGAGACCGACACACCAGCTGAATGGACAATTGTGCCTCCTCTCACATCTTTAATTTATTTTGACTATTCATGAATGGATTTTTTAAAGATTGCCATAAAAGATGGCCGAAGCGTTTAAGAAAAGTTCCTAAATATTGTCATGAACACTCATTGCTGCACTTTATTGTCGTCATACTTCAGCGAGTTTTGCTTTAAGTCACCCCATGTGGACATTCTATGTAATGTTAGTCAACAACAGCACGTCAACCACCTATAAGTGTACGACGTGCTGTTGTTGGCAACATCCCACAAATCTCCTAATCTCCCTTTCACCTACAGCAAGGCTTCAATGTGTTATTGTCTGCTCCCATGAGCTCAGAGGCTGGCAGTTCTGCATATTTGGAATGCCGCCCTCCCCGGCAGCCAATATCCTCAATATCCCAGCCCCCGCCCTGCCGCGGTTATACAGAACGGTTCGACACGCCGCGCTGACAGGCCCTTTCCGAACAGAAAGGCTGGTCGTTTTAATGATGTAACGAACACGCCCGTGGGACCAGCTGCGCCCGTCCTCTGCGCGTGTCTCTGTGTGCGGCCTGACGAGGTGCCACCCGGCCACCCCGGTGGACAATGGCCGGGGGCGGGCGCCAACCCCTCCCCCTCCTCGGTGGTGGGTCGTCACCGACACCGCGACTCCCAGCTGCCCTCGGCGGACCACCAGCGCGGCCACCGGCGACGTGCCATAATACTCGGCTAATGAAGTCGCCGCCGCTCCAGCCCATCGAGCCATTGAACTCTGGTTAGTGACGCACATCAGTCTTTTGTCGGCGCCGCTGACACATGTGGAGGAGCGAGCATTGTCCGCCGATGCGGTCCCAGAACGATTAGCGGCCGGACGCCTCGCCACCGCCGCCGCCGCCCGCCGCCCGCCGCCGCCGCCGCCGCGGCGAGACCGCCCCTCCAGTCGGCTCTGCCATTTTGGCGGCCTCCCATTGGCCACAGCCCAGCGGCGGCTGCGCGCGCGCTGATTGGTCGAGCGGCGGCCCGCCTCGCGCCGTGACCAATCCCACTCAATACAGGCTCTAATGAGCTGGCGGAAAGGCGTGATTTAGCGGCCGGGCCTGGAGCTGGTTAGCCGCGCCGATTTATGTGAGCGCGCCAACTAGAACTAGTTCGGCGGCGGCCGCGCGCGGACGGTGGGTGCTCGCTGCTGCTGCTGCTGCTGCCGGGGCTGCCTCTACCCAGTGACTCGCCGCGCGATGCCCGGCAGCTCGCGCTAGAGTATGGACGTTGGCGAGAGCGCTCCGCCCAGTCCCGCCGTCGAGCCGACCAGCAGCTGCAGTGACAGTGAGATTAGCGTCGGCTCGCCGCTGCCGACCGCCATGCCGCCGCGCAGTGATGTGTCGCCGTCGACGCCGGCCAGCCCGGCCCAGCCGCCGTCTCCGACGTCCCCGGGGGCGCCGCTGTGTCCGGCGGCGCCCGCCGGCGAGTCGCCCGGCTCCGGCGAGCTGGCCGGCTACGACTCGAGCGAGACCGAGGACTATTTCGGCCCGCTGCGGCGGCTCGGGCCGGCCAGCGCCGAGACGGCTGCGGCCGGCGCGCGCCAGCCCGACCACGGCCTCAAGTCGTTCTCCGTGCACGACATCCTCAACCACCGCAGCTCGCGGCGCAAGTGTGCCGTGCCGACGCGCATTGTGCGGCCCTGGGACTGTGACGAGCGGCCGCCGGCGCGAGCCGAAAAACCCGACAAACTCGACCGCAAGAAGGCGGGCAACAACGGCAACAACAACCCGCTCGACGAGCTGTTCAAGATGACCAACAAGACGCTGCAGGACTTCAAGGACGAAAAGCAGGGTGAGTGCTGACCTGGTAGGGGCAGGGGCTGGTGGTTATCGGCATTAGCGGCCCGGCGGCCCGGGCTGACCGGGCGCGGTGGGTGGACCGGCGCGCGGGCTGGGTCGGTCAATGGACGGTGGGGTGGGGTGGTCCAGCGCAGTAGGGTGTGGATGTGGACGAAATGGTCTGGGGGCGTGTGTGTGTGTGTGTGTTTGATGGTCCGGTGGAATGTGGACAGGCTGGGTGACCGGACAGGTGGGCTAGTGGAGTGTGGACAAGGGACGGCCTGAGCTTACCTCTGTTCAGGAGTGCCGGATTCCCCGGGTCGGGTGGTCACTGGCCAGTGTTTGGAATGGGATGGTTGGACCAGATGGATGTGTTGGGTGGACTGTGGACTGTGGAATGTGGAAAATGGATCGGTGAAGTTTTGAATGTTGAATGTGGCCGTCTGGGACCGATGTGTGCTGAGCGAGCATGTGAGATGTTGAGGGTGGCTGCGTGTTGGGTGGTCAGTGTGGATGGCTGCGTGTTGTCAGTGTGGATGGACTGAATGGCTGCGTGTTGGATGGTCAGTGTGGATGGCTGCACTGGAGTCTGGAATGTGGATGGACTGTGTCTGTGTGGTGTTGTGTGTTGGCCATTGGGTGGACAGACTGAATGTGTGTGCTGGGTCAGATTGAACTGGGTGGACGGACCAGGTGGCTGTGTGCCTGTGCATTGGGTAGAATAAGCGGGGTGTGTTGGGTGGATGGACTGGACGGCTGTGTGGCTGGGAAGACGTAGGTACTGGCGGCTTTGTGTTGGGTAGAATATGGATGGGCTGGACGGCTGTGTGTAGGGTGGACAGACTGGGCTGCTGTTTGTTGGGTGGATTGTGGTGGGACTGGGAATCTGTATGTAGGGTGAATGGACTGGCGGCTGTGAGTTGGGTGGATATAGATAAGTGTAAGTGTTTTGGAGTGTGGACTCATGGGTGCCGGGTGGACTGAGCTGCTGTTTGTTTGGTGGAATGTGAACAGACTGAGTGGCTGTGTGTTGATTGGGCAGATTAGACTGGGTGACTGTGTGTTGGGTGAATTGTGGACGGGCCTAGTGGGAATGTGGACGGACTGGACGGCTGGTGTCAAGGGTAGGCCAATGGATTGTTGACGCCTTTGTGGCTGTGTGGATAATGGAAAGGGTGACTGTTTGTTAGATAGACTGACTGGCTAGATGTATGCTGTGTGGATCGGTGGGTTGCGGATGGACCAGCGTTGGCTGGTCCAGCGCAATTGATCTCGACATGACAGTAACATGACTGACCTGACAATGTATCTAGAACAAAGTCGCAATTGCAACGTGAATATAATGACTATATATTCTATACAGGGTGCACCACAAAAAGTTGCCTCACCCCCAAAGAAAAAAAAACATTTTATTTCAAAACGCGCTGGTAATAGGTAAGCCAACGTTTGCGTAGATGTAACAAAGTTGTCAGTCCAATCCTGACAGTATAGTTCATGTTTGATATGCTGGCCATCTACCTATATTGAGCGCATAAAATGTGAGGACGTCTTGGCACGCATCTCCCGCTACTGATCTTCCGGGATCAGCAGTCAGCACTGGTTGTTGGTCGCTGAGCATTCTCTGGTCTTAGTTCTAATGGGAACGATCTAGCCCCAGCCTGAGCCATTATTTGGACTTCTTGAACTGGCATATCTTGGAACGCCTATCCTTCCGAGCCCCCAAAATGACGTGAATGACCTACGGTGGATCGAGTACCCGTATCTTTTCAGCTGGGTGATCGAGGGAAATAAGTGAAAAGGCGCGTGGACGCGTGCCATAGTGCCCCCACTCCTCGGACACAAAACAAAAGGAGAATGCAAGCATACAAAGATTGGGCCTTGTGGTAGATCGCGTTATTATACGATGCAGCAAAAAATGGAACACCTGCGTTAGTTTGCCTTGAAGCAATATAGAGTTTTGATGATTAAATGTTTATGGTGCACCCTAAATATGATACAGGAAATATTAAAGGGAAACTGAGAATGTTTGGAAGTCGCCGTGTTTTACGCTACTATTTCAATTACCCAGACCGCACATGCTGACAATAAATGTGTATTGCATGTCTGCTGCAATTGAGCTTTAACTGCAGTATTATCTTTCAGTGCCACGCTAAGTAGTATGTAGTAGGCAATTTTATCATAGCATAAGGCATCCTCGCATCCACATGATGATCACATACGATGATTAAGTTATCCTTCTTCATTACGTGTAATATTTTCTCACAATTGCGCCTGGAAAATTGCTCGGTTGGATGAAAATATTTCCGCTCGCACATTATCAGCATCGCGCAGTTAGCTGTCACGCACTGGAGTCACTAACATGAACCGTCTATCAAAACACTCACTGGTCTTTAGTTGAATTGAACCAGCCAATACCCAGCGATACCAATATTCACAGTTCACAGCGATACCAGCGATACCAATACCCAGTCAATCCAGCAATCCAATGATTTCAGTGGCAAAAAAAAAAAAAAAATACTCATAAGACATTCCCGTATATTACCACATTTACTTATGTATCATTTATCTGAGCATGAGACATGGAGAGTGAACACTGAATAGTTTGGGGTGAGCGCATCGTTTTCGTAAGTTGATGTCATTTACTATGTCGCACAAGTGCATGTTGCGCTTTGTTTTTATTGGACTTCGAGTCTGCAAATATAGAAATCTCTCTCTCTCCCTCTGTCTCTCTCCCTCCCTCTCTCTCTCCCTCCCTCTATCTCCCTCTCTCTCTCTCCCTCTCTCTCTCTCTCTCTCTCTCTCTCTCTCTCTCTCTCTCTCTCTCTCTCTCTCTCTCTCTCTCTCTCTCTCTCTGTTTCTCTTTAAATCCGGAAACCAAGTAAAAATTATCTTTCCTGGCCGTTCTACCTGCATGAAATTTAATACCATACTTCAAGCTTTTGGAAGATGGCTAATCTTGTTTGTCAAGAAAACCAATACATTGGTGGAATGCCGTTGATAAATTCGATGACATGGTTTTCTACTCTTTCCTTTTCTTGACGGCGACGCTCTTGTGAAACGGCCTCTAGTATATTATCTCGAGCATGATAATGACACCGATCGAAGTCAATTTAAAGGGACTATCCCACCTTTAACATGGGGTTTGAGTTGAGTTAGCCAAGTTTGCGGCGAGGTTCAGAAACCACTATCTATCTAGGTTGCAACCCCCGCGGCCTCTTGGTGTTGAAGAAATTCGTTCCCTTCATTTGAAAATGGGCCTTGTACAAGGCCCTATCTTCAACATGGAGCGACCGTTAGTGTGACGTCACCTCGTTAAGTCATTCTGATTTAAATGGGTTTGTTCGTTGAAAGATCGCTTAAAACTTGGTCTGAACTTTGTTGTGGTGCCTACAGGGTAAAAAGAATCAGCTTTATGACAGTAATGTGGCCTGGGGAAGGAGGTAATTTTGGGCTGTGACGTCACATATTTGAAAGTTTGTGTTTGGAATATGGGAAGCCTAAGATGTTTAATGAAAAATAAATGCCAGAACCGTGCTCCTGGTCATCCAATCTATAAAGTCGGGCACAATTTAACTGGTTTTAACAACATTTTAGAAGGTGGGATAGTCTCTTTAAGTTAAAATGTGTACCCTTCTTTACAACAATATCTCAGCAATTTTGCGAATACTACATACACTCTACAGGGTGTCCCGTAAGTTCGTTCTCGCCTAAAATTTACGTTTAGAGGCTCTCTTGTTTCAAGGCACGCTAAATTTGGATCGTAACTGAGCTTATATGGTTGCCATTGCAACTGGCAATATACTCCACGGTATCTGCTTTCTCTATACAATTTTTTTTTTTTGCTAGAGTACACTTCCTGTAAAGACGGCTAACGCCGCAACATAGTGGTCTCCGATACGGGTTCGTCTCGGTAACTAGTCAGCACGTGGACTATTCGCGACGATTGAGGGTGAATAAATCCAGCCAGTCTTTAGCTCGGCCTCGCTAACTGGACGGACAGTTAGCAATTGACGCCGATGATTTGTCAGGAGTCAATCACTGCAAGTTCATCCTCTTACCAATCATTCCTCAGGAGTGAACAAAGTGGCCAAATCTGTGTGGCGCCAGTGACCATCAAAAAGGTCAAAGCTTTAGAATTTAGAAAGTTGGTAAGCAGACTCTTCAGGATGGATTACCAGCTGTCTAAGAGTATTCTTTCGGGGTATACACAACCCACGGTCACCTGGGCTTAAGACTTAACCCTATTAGTGGCAGGGGGGGGCTGTTTACGACCCCCCTTGATATCTCGAGATCTAACGGGCCGATTTTCAAAATTCAAACGGCATTCCATTTCGCTCAATGTGATCTACATTTCTAAAAAATAAAAATTAAAAATGTCAATAGGGGGGTAGAGGGGGGTAAAAACGGGCAAATTGCAGATACATTTTAGACTGTTTATCACGGCCAGGTTTCTGAACCAATCTTAACGCAACTTTTGCCGATCGATAGAGAATGAACCAGGAATTCACATGGATCCTAAAAATATGCATTTTCAAAAATCATAGGCGGATACAGATCATTGAGATTGGGGGTACACAAAAAGCATAGTAAATAAGGTTTTTGTTGGTACTGTTTCTAAAAAGGGTGGCAATGGTCTTGTTATGTTACAACTTTCTTATGAGAAAACGACTACAATTGTATTGGTCATGCATAGGCGGTGTCAGGGCACCTATGTTGGGAGGTAAAACATAACCCCCATTTTTGGACGCCTGGATCCGCCTATTATAGCAAAAACGTATCAAAAGAGGATGCACAATAACTTTGTATATGTTATCACATGATACCTTTCATTCAATGTTCGTAAAACTGGTGTATACAGTTATAATACATCAGCATCGTGATCTTCGCCCCAAATGACTCGCTTCACGATTAGGACCCCCCAATTCCCAGTGCTCTGGAGCCGCCCCTGGTAAAGGTATAAACTTGAAATTGTCAGGGAATGTGCCCAATTTAGTTTTAGGAAAAGTCAGAAAA